AGGCTTTGATAAATATCTAAATTATGCTCAATGGTGTAATCTACTTGGAAGCAGTTTGTCTCATCTCCTAAAATTAAAGTGATAAGATTAGATTGATCAAACTCCTTTCAAGCTACTAACAAAATACAACGTAAACAGAACTTGGATTTCAAAATTATAAGTGTTTTTTTGTTTGTTTGTTTGCTTTTGCAAGTAGTATTACAAAAGAAGAAATAGCCAATGATTTTAAAACAGTTCAACCAGCACGTGAATTCACTTGTGTCTACTGAAGATTATCTCTACTGGATTTTTCTCTTTCTATTTTAGTTTTATTTTCCTATTATGCATTTTGCTGTTGTGGGAAACACTGAAATCCACATTGCAAGACTATATACTGATACTATATTATAAGACTATAACATTTATAAATTTTTAAATGTCTTGATAATTTACTTTTATACAACGAAAAAGCAATTTGCTTTTTAGTTACATATATTTTATTTTTACATATAGGGTGTATATATTGTTACATAATGCACATATATTATTCTTTTTATGTATATATATATATATTTAAATAACTGTTAAAGAGAAAACTACAGATTTTTATGTAATGAAAAGCAATGCAAATTCTACCACAAATTGAAAGATGACCAAACTGAACTTTAAAAGCATTGAAACAAAAATTGTCTGTGCTTGCTTCTCTAACACCTAATTTCTGCTTTACATACATTTACACTCCCTGATTCAAGCTGAGATGGGAAGTAGAAGTGCAGATATACCACAGTAAAACCTATGTTTGTAGCTGTTCCAGCATGACCTGGAACAGTAGGTACTAATGATTTTGGGAGAAAACCAATTATCGTTAAATTAGTTGAAGCCACTTTGCAAAATTTAATCCCTTTTTGTAGTTCAAATAAATGTATATCTATTTTCTGAGTATTTCTCTGAATCAATTTTTTCTGGGTTTATGTATTTCTTTGAGTTAGAGGCCTGCTCTCTTAGGGTAATAGGAAATAAATGCTCAGTTGGACCATTTCTACTACCACTGCCTCAACCTCATCTGCTCAAAAGGTACATTCCCAACCCTACAGACTGGCCAACCCTAAAGAGCTGGAATAGTTATAGAGCATGATTAACATTTCTTCTATTCTTCAGTAACATGCACAACGCTACTATTATTTGGAGCTGTAAATATCCAACTAAGCCCAACAAATTCTAACCAGTACACCAGAAACTAACCAAAGGAATATATATTTTTACATATCCATCAATAGTACAAAATGGAGCAACCCCAGCTACTACTGTGAATAGTTTTGTAATATCCTCAATGACAGTTCTGTTCTCTTTTTCATATCTATTACTATTAAAGTAGCAAATCTGTGTGGCACAAGATATAAGAGCAAATGCTTTGCAGTTACCTGGAGGCAGACTGCTTTTCAGAATTCAGCCCAACTGGAAGGAGCTCTATATCTCTGTTAATATGATAAAATGCCTTTTCATTCTATTCCTTTTTATTTATGCTACCTGAACCGGCTCAAACTAACCCATGACCATGCAGAAAACTACACTCTTGTTAAATTCTAATGATCATTTAAGTCTGAGATTATGCTTTTTTTGTACTGTCAGTGATTTTTTAATCACATGGAGTCTTCTAACTCAGTGTTACCTGTTTTCCCTGAAAGAATGAACAGTATGTCAGAAGCCGGCAGTACAGTTATACTGAATGCAGCATGGTAGGAAAATCCTAAGGAGCACAGCTTAGATAGTCACTCCTACACTATTAAGAGAAAAGACTGGATAAAAATGTGTAGGACAAGTCTACGTGACTTTCACATGACTGTATGTTTTTTTCTATTACCTGAGAACATGCTGTTTCTTCACAGTTTCACAGATGTGGCTAAAGCAACTCCAAGACAGAAAGGAGAATGGATAACAATTGTCTCCGTGGGAAGCTGTACCTCACCCTTGTCTCTTTCAAGCCATGCTCCAGAAACAACCCTGATCACTAACATTCTGCAAACATTACCTAAATGTCAGAAGTGAGAAATAATACTTTTCATGAAACAAGCATTCACAAAGGAAAACAAACAAACAAAAAAATTAAGGGCAGTAACAAGTAGTGACTTCATCCATATTTACTCAGTAGAACCAATTCCAAAGTTAGGAACCTTCATAGAACAAGTAACTAACAAAACAGATAAAACTGCCAAGCTCTCAGCATACAACTAAGCTGAAATCATAAACATAAGTGTATTCACCACAATTGAAATTCATCAGAAAATAAACAGTATAGGTACTATGAAAACACACAAGAGAGATATGCAAATACACAACATTACTTCCTGTGAAGTCCGAGTTTGGAAGACGTAGGAAAGCAAGAAACAGAAGCCTACTTGCAATATGAAGGAAAAATAAACTTGTTCTGGGGACATCTCCAAATCAATGAAGCGAGCTTTTGTAGTTCACTTAAAAATAAATAAATAGTCATCTAGTTTCTTCTTCAAAACCATCTGCCATGTAATCAGATTCTGTGGTCATCACACACAGACTCCATAAAATCAAAGTACAGATGGTGGTTTATTATAAAATAACATAGGAGGCTTAGAATAGATGATACATTTGGTCATTTTTGCACATAAACTCCCTGATTAAGTATGAAAAATGTGAACATTTGTTTATCTTGGAAAAACTGCTATTACTTGTCAAGCATGACCAATTATGTATTTCTGAACAGTTATCCATATAATTAAGAAAAACAGCCATCTGTAAAGTCAGAAGTTTGCATCTGTTTCTCGTGGATTTTGTTTGAGAATCTCCCCTCCCCCCCCACCCTAATCCATATATAAATATCATTTCTCTAATCTGATTAATTCATAAAACAGTAACAGAAAAAAAGAAACCAGAGAAAGCTCTTTGCAACAGGTTTATTGGAATTCCATTCATTTTGTCTTTCCTAATCTTTTTTCATTGTTGTTAGTTTCTCTTCCCCTCCCTCCCCCCGACAGATGTCAACTAGTAACAGGGAAGGAAAATATGAAGACTTTTAACAGATATTTTTATTTTTCACCCTCTACTGCACCTAACAGATGCATAAGGTCTATATTACAACAAGGAAAAAATGAAAGCCTTTCTTATTTTAGAGTTGCTTGATTGTTTGAATTTCAATTGAGAGAGAAAAAAATACCATTTATTTCTAGATTCTGTATTATTAAGGCAAAACTTGGTCACAGAAATATGCAAGCAAGACTAACTGCAGTTTGAGTCAACGTATCAAGTATCTGTGAGATGGGGGTGTCTTGCTCCAATTTATAGGAGGAAGAGGAGATTTTTTGATGCGTGCATAGCTAACATGAGGTAAAGAAACAACGGTTCAAATGTTGGTCCTACCAGTTTAACACAAATCTTAATCACAAAGATACGGAAGGGTGAGGACACTGTTACCAGTTAGGGTGATGGGGAAGCGGATGATAGGAAAAAATAAAGAGTGGTGTAAAGCGGGGATTAGTCATCACCAAGATCCATCGAACATTGTTCCAAGGGTCTGAGGTAAAAGCACAGGGGGAGAGCAGCAGCAGCGTGGCTGGCCTCGTGCAACAAGCAGGTACAGCGACAGGGTAAGCCCAGGAGAAAGCAGCAGGACTCAGGCAGCAGGCCAGGAGAGTCCATCAGCATGCAGGTATCTCGTTGTGAGGAGTATGTTGTCAAAAACCTAATCTCATAGTTCTTGGTCCCTTTCTTTATCCTTCTTCTTCTGCCAACATGTCATTTCTGGGTGCTTGGGTAAGAGCCATGTACAGTTACCTCCCTGAGATGGCTATCTCCCTCGAGATGAGTCCACACAAAATGCTTCCTGGCCATTAAGCTGTGGCTTACTTCTCTCTCTGTGCCCCTGGCCTGCAAATCTTCAAACAAAAGATTTTGCTACCTTTGACCAGAACTTGCCTAGACTTGTCTATCTATGTCCCTCAGGCAAAGGATTTCTCAACCCTTACCCAGGACTGGTCCATCAGTGTTCCTCAGCAAGCTTGGAGACAATGGGGCAAAAGAATAATCTCTTACAGGAGGGGAGGGAAATCAATAAAAGCACATTTCAACATTTTTAACACAGAATTAGAAATTAGGTCTGGGAAAGAGATGTTTTTTTGAGGTGGTTTCAGTTACTATGAAATTTTCTTATGAAACGTAGAAATGTATCAAAGACAGAACACTTGAATACTAGCAAATTTGTATCTGAATCAGTAATAAATGTTTATATTCAACAAAATCTGAAAGTAATTCTGAACAGTCCAACACCTCCCCCTATAATCATTGGCATTCTTTTTGAATCAGGTTAGAGGCAAACTTTGATTAGAAGTCTCTAAGAAAGAGTGGTTCTAGAGTAATTGAGTAAGACTATGTTAAAATTACAGAACTGTAATTTATGTTAGAAAGGATCTCAAGAGATCACTTTTTGCACCAAAGTTGCTCACAACAGTAACTACTCAAGTTCTTAACATCTCCAAGGATGGAGGTTCAACAGCTCCTTAAGCAATCCATTCATGTGTTTGACAGCTGCCCTGGCAAAAATCAGACAAACAAATGCTGATCGTGTTTGTACAATTAGTGTGTTTGCTTTTATATATTTTCCTAAGCTCCTGTACTACAAAGGATCTGTATCATTTCCTGTCCACCTCTGCTAGAGAGGAAACCAAAGTCAGCTCTTGGGTCCTATCTTCCCTAGGCTGGACATCCAGGCTTCCCTAGGCTTGCTCATCCGGTTTTTCCTCATAGGATTACCTGTATACCATTTCCACATTTCTAATAACCAAGTCACCCATACTATTGACCAACTAGCTTACATTTCCCTCCAACTTTCTGTTGCTTCTAAATGTACTAATTAGAGGCTTGTACCTCACACATGGAGGCTAATAAGCAACACACTTAAATGACATTGTTCACATCTGTTACAGTTGGTGTTACAGCTAGAAGATTATTGTAGTGAAAATGGGAAAAGAAACAAACAGTAAAGAAATGCTCACCTGTATCCAGAGATCTAGGTTTGCAGAAAAACCTCCACAGAAGAGGGATCTCCAGAAAGAAAGCCTTCCCCTGTGGCAGTCAGTGCATAAATGGGGTCTAGAAGAAATTGCCTTCACCTGTGCTCCCAGGGCTGACCCAGTCCTCGCCTCAGGTGATCAATCAGTTGTTCAGATGGTGACTTAACAATTCCCATGCAACATCCCTCCCTAGCACTATGAGTAGCAGACTTCGATTCTCCTAACTGCCTTTGCATATCCAGACAGTGTCTGTATGGTCCTTCAGAGTAACCTCTCTATGCTTTTATCTCCTATATCCTTTTTGTGTTGAAGCTTTATCTCCTGTTTCCCTAGACGTATGTGATTCAAGTTATAAAATCATTTTTACCAAGCTATTTTCGTTTTCTGGACAGCTGAACCTTAACAAGGTAGAATAGACTCATTTAGCTTATTTATATTCTTCAGAAGTTCTTCAGATAGACCTGAAAAAGCAGTATTTGCAGACATAGGTACAACTGAGTATAACACATGCTCTTACTACCAGTGTTCAGAATTGGAAGATAGTTATTCACTGTAATCCACTTTACAGAAATCTCCAACAGCCATCGGCTGAGAAGCAAAAAGATTATTAAAAATATCAGCATTAAGTGAGCTAGATTTCAAATAACGTATATCTATGCAAGGAAGTCTTTTGCAGAATTCTGAACCAGTTATTTCTAGTGCTTGAAAATTAGAAAGAACGATAAACAAAATCACAGGCAAAAATCCTGGCATGTTCAAAAAGGATTTGGGTTTTATCATCAGAATTATGCAGTAACGCAAAAGAGTACAAGCTGCAAGTCTACATAACATACATAACACATCTCCTTAAGAAAGAACATAGCCACACATTGAATAACATCAGAGAATGGTAAATTTTTGTCATGCACTGTCAGAATTATTTTAAATAGTACCATTCTCTCTAGAATCCTTTGTATAAATTTGTATAGCATAAATAATGTCTCAAATTTTCATACTTCATTGCACAAACACTTCGTATGATGCTATAGAAGCTTAAAGGGTGATGTGCTTTTCAATACCCCTTCCTACTTGCTCAAGAAATGGAGATACAGAAGTTAGCACTTACTATGTATTAAAAGCAGTTCATTAAACAATCTGGAGTAATGGCTTCAAGTTTAGTTGGTAGCTATTAGCAGTAGTGTCTGGGAAACAGCTGCTTGATTTAATTGGCAAATGCTAGTTCCCTTCCTTTATAGGCAGAATTGGAACCTCACTGCTTGCCAACAAGCTAAAGATTGTACCAATTTTAAACCAGATGTTATTTAACTTGTCTTATCATTAAGGAAGAAAAATCTCACCTCAAAGATTGCTTAGCATATACTCATTAAAAACTTCTGACGCTTTCAGCTAACAGAAACCACTCTGGAAGAGCTTTCTAACTTTGATTCACTTCCCCAAAATTCATAATTTAGCTATATAAAATGATGAAAATTCAGTTGAGTCAACAGTTGAAATGGGCAGTTTAAAAAAGGTGAATCAATTATGAAGTATTAAGTAACAGATGTAAGGGGCAACTGATGAAATTGTATTGCATGGTGAGACACACAGCACAAACTCCTCGGCAAGTTTACTATTGGTCTTTCTTCCATCCTGACTTTAACTATTCCTATAACTAAATGGTTTATGTTTCTGTTTGGCTTTTGTTGTTTTTACCTTTTTAGTGGAATTTCTTCTCTTTGTCCTTGCAGAGTACTCTGTTATCAGACTCACTAAGTAAACTGTAATCTCTAAGTAGAAGAATTTTTTGTAAGACTTGAGATTAAACAAGTACATATTTAAACCACATTTGTCATTTCAGAACACCAAGGAGAGAAAAAATACTTAAAGCTGTTTTAGGAATATTAGCTTGTCATCAGTGAATGGTAATGTAGATAATTTCAAAGAAACATTGCTTTGAGAAGGAAAAATAGAAAAAAACTTTTAACTTTAAAGTCACTTTTCAGTTATTCTAGTTACTTACAAATGCATGTTGTTCCATACAGTTATCAGCTGTGCCCCCAAGAAACAAAAATTAAGGTACAAACACATAACTTGGCAGTGCTGGTATAGAGTAAGAGTACAATAAGAACAAGGAGTTAATAGTATTTCTCCAGGTAAAACTAACAACCACAGTGGTGTGCAGGTTAGGAACTTCCCGAGACAGGAATTTTTGTATTTTTGTACTTATCCTCCATTCACTCTGCTCTTGTCTTAAAAACGGCTTATACAATTCAAACCAGAAAACATCCTTCACATGTTCGTGCGTTCATTTTTGCCATATCAGGTCTTACCCCAATTTACCTAATACCTTTCTTATTTGAGATGCTGCGTCGTTATTATGCCACCTGAGATGATAGTTTTATGCTGTCTTTTTGTCTTTTTATGCCTCTGTAGGAGGATAGCACCTTGACCTTCTGTAAAGCAACTCTAGAAACAGTAAAAATTTAAACAAAAATACTTGTGTTAAAAATGTAAGATTGTCTTTTTTTGTTTGTTTGCCCAAGATTTATCTCCACGAGTTACTGCATTGTAAACATCCTTCTTGAATTAGATTTAATATCATGTCTGTAAGGTCTTTTGTCCATTTCTGTGATCAGTGTTATGAGCTACCTTGTACAGATACAGCATTCAGCTTAGTGTGCGAGGATCCGAGCAGATAAGAAACTGCATATTTAAAATTAAAAAGTGAAATACAGTGTTTTCCTAAAGATAGAATTGTCATATAATTGAAGAAGCAAATTTAATCTGTGACTTCCAACTTTAGTATAGTTCCCAGACTTCCATCTGACAAAACAAAGAGCTGAATCTCCCTGCAGAGCCGGCTACAATCTGAATATGTCAAAAAGACAACCAGGGACTGTTTCGTCTTCTTTTAAGCGTCATTGTACAAAGAGGCATCTGTCTGTTATTCCTTTCAATAGCAGTACAGGCCTTAGACTCATCTTTCAAGAACAGTGTTGTCTCCGCTGAGAACAATTACATACTTAAAAATCTACAAAGCAAGACCTAAGTAAGGGAAACAATATTTAATTTAACAAAAGAAGCTTTGTTTTCCCTCTGACACTTTAGACTGTTTAGGTGACATGCTACATATGCAACATCTTGCTGACATTATTATTATTACAGTAGATTTTATTTTATTTTTTAATGATATTTTCTAAAGCTCTACCTCTCTCTGTAGGACTTTAGAACTGTTAAATACTCATGTGGACATTTATGATGCTCCACAGTAAGTTACAAACAGATTTCAAATATAGTTGTGAAAATGTTTACTATTAGTGAATTAATAGTTCAAGACCAAGTGTAATCATTTGTTTGAAAAAAGAGTTTCAAAATAAAAGTGTTTCCAATGCCAGTGTGTTGATGGACTACAGAGCCGTTGTACCTTGCATATACAGTAGCATTCAATTCTAACTTAAAGCCTACAAGGATCCATGAAAAATTACAGTTACTATAATTCCACTGGACAGCGAGATCAAATTTTGTGCTTCAAAGGCAGATTCAAAGAATAAGAAAAAACTCAAATGCATTTAGAAAGAAACAAACATTTTCTTATCTTTTTTTTTTTTTTTAATACTGACAGGTATTTCAAGGAATACAAGAACAAATCATCTTAAAAAGATAAAAATGTCCAAATCTCTCTGATGCATTGTTGACTAGCACTTGCAATATTGCCACTATAATACGTGTAGATGTGTGTTTCTTCGAGTAGGACTTTCACTAAAGTCTCTGCAGTTCCCCTGTATCATCTTTATCAATATTAAAAATTTATTATAGATTTCACAGTGATCAGTGTTCATAGTGTTCCATTTTGCAGTAACATTTCTATTAATAAAAGTGGGTCTTTAAGAAACTTCTTACCTATTCTTATTTTTATATGTTTCTGTTCTGATTGTCGTCTATGCTACTCATCTAGAGTCAAGTCCCAGTGCCTGCCTGAGAATTTTACACACCTATGCAGTCAGAGGAGAAATGCATGACTGGCATGCGTAGCTACAGACAGACTAAAATATTACAGGAAAACACTTTAGGAAAATATTGTACGAAGTAAAATTATTCTTCTACATTTCCTAATCTTATCATTCATAATATAAAAATTAACAGCCTTACATGTGAAGGAATAAGACAGGAACTCAGGTGTTCAGCAAATAGAAGACCAACAGAGCATAATGTACCCAGATGTATCACATAGCAAGAGGTGACTGGAAATATAGAAGATCTGGAGTAATAGATACATTTCTTACATAATTTCATTTCCAACCTGCGGGTAGTGTAAAAACCCCGGCAAAATACAGCTTCTGCTTACAAACCTTATTAACTGAACTGAAAGAAGTCTAAACTCTTAGTTAAAAGTTTTCAACCAGTTTAAACTGGAACAACACAGGCTTCCAAACCAGCCCCTCATGGCAGCCAGTTAGAGTTGCTTTCAACATAGTTTTTTAACAAACATAGCAAGTTACAAGCAAAAAAGTAAGTTGAAAGATCATTAAGCCTGCAAAGTCAAGCACTGAAAAATGAAGAAATGCTAGAATTAACACTGACTGTGCATTTTTAATTCCCTACATCCCTGTGTGTATGCATTTTGATATAATTTTTAATTACTTAATTACATTTTGTGTAGGACAGACAGCGCTCCAGGGATGAATTAGGGCTGCATGTTGAATGAGGTTGTCATCCTTGGGACTTTTGCCTTAGCTGATATAAAAATTGGAAGGTGGCAATGGAAAACACATTCAATCACTAAATAGCAGCACAGGTTTGACTATGAATTTAGTATTCAGCGTGGTTATAAGCATCCCATGATGCTGGTCACTATATCGACACTGAGCATATATAAGTGATTGAGTGTATAGCAATCTCTCATGGCAGTATCTCACCTTCTTAATAAATGTGTAACATGAAATTGAGATAAATGGATTAAAATAATGTAGGGAAAGATAGTAAGTTGTAGACACATGATAAGCTACAAAGAACAATCTTCATAATCAGACTTATGCAGCGTTCAGATGAAGAAAG